ATATATATATATATATACATATAATATATATATTTCTACATATAACCTGTTGAATCCATATAACATTACTTGTATATATGTTTCCAGAGTTAACCATTTGGCACTGAACACCTGATTGGTGTCTCTTCCCTAAAGATGACCACTCTACTGCTTCCAACTTTTCTCAGTTGTCTATAGTTCTTTGTGTAGAGTTGTGTAGGATTGAGTTCTTGTGGTCATGTTCATTGGTGTCATCCTTGTTAGCTCAAGTTTGGGCGGTCTAAGTGCCTGTTTTTAATGATGCTACATTACTGCTTTGATTACGTTAGCTTTCAATGACATAATCTCTTATTTATAAAATACCAGAATCAGAATACAAGAAAAATATAGACTATAAGACCAATATATAAAAATATATTCCATTTCTATGCAATATCAATAAGCTACTCAAGGAAAAGTAGGGAATAAATTCTATTTATAATACCATCATAAAGAGGTACAGTTAAGAAATTTAACATAATAAATGTAAAAATTAACTGATCTCATTCTCAGTACATTAAGGTTATTTTGTTTGTATATATGAAATGGATTGTTTGTGGAGCAAATAAAAGTTAAGGCAATATCTGTACTAGTAGTCAACATGGATCTTTAAATTTTTTTTGAGACCCCACTGTCTAGCTATGGATACAGACTGACCTTAAACTCAGGATTCTCCTGTTTTAGATCACAGTTGTGCAACATCAGACCTGGCTTAACATGAATCCTTTGTGTCATACTAATAGATACTCATCTTCATGAATGAGAAGTTATTTCTTAACTTCTCATAGGTTGGGCTAAATAAATGATACAACAGATTTTTTTAATATGAAATTTACAACAGCAATCTATAACCTACCAAAAAATCTTAAAACAAAAAAAACTTCTCATATTTCATGCCAAAATTGTCAAAGTTGTCTTGACCTGCAAGGAGAGTCTACATAAAAGTATTAGAAGGCATAAATTAGTCATCCCCATCAAGGCAGACTTTGTTTCATTTGCATTACAGTTTGTAGAAACATTTCAAGTAGTTTATTAAACATAGTATTTTTGCTTCTTTCTAATCAACATTCCTGACAATTATCTTGATTTTTAAGTGCCACTCCACAGCCAGGATGAGGAAAACAACTGTTAAATGATTTTCCTATTACAAGAGAGGAGGGGCAATGCAACCACAAAACAATTAGCTAGAGCTATGAAACTAATAGAGCAGTGAACGTGGAAATCTATTTTAAGAGTCAAAATAAGGAAACTCAAACAAAACCCCACTTATTTCTATACACTTATGGTTATGAATGCTTGGAAATTCTCATAGAGATATAGAAAAAGCCTGTAGAAATACAAAAATGAAGTTTTCCCTCTGCCTTTTGATGTGTTAGAGCAGTGGCTCTCCACCTTCCTAATGCTTCAATCCTTTAATACAGTTCCTCATTTGTGGTGACCCTCAACCATATTTTATTGCTACTTCATAACCATAATTTTGCTACTGTTATAAATTGTAAGGCAAATACTTTTTTGTAGATAGAGGATAGCCAAGGGGGTCACAAGCCACAAGTTGAGAACCACTGTGCTAGATCTTCAATTTTAAATGAAATCTTATGAGGAAAAGTTTATTATGAGGCATTTATTTTACAAAGCCTGGAGAAGCAGATTGAACAATTGAAGGAACCAAGGTGAATTGTGTTATACATACGCTCCAGCATTACTCCAGGTGTAACTTTCTAAGTAAAAAGCTTAACAGGTGCAAAATAGTTGATACTCTATCACTTGGTCTGAAATGCATTTGGAAGGGAGAAAAAAATGACTGATCATGGAATTGTTCTGTACAGAAAAAATATTTTCACATGCCCTTAGATGAGTTGTAGAATGACTGTTTGTCACTGTGATGAAACTTTTAACTGAAAAGTATGAGCATATTCAGTGATTTAAAAGATGATGATTCTTAAAAAAGTTATGGTGAAAATCACCTTCATTGAAACAATGCTGCTTATATTATAAATAAATTGTCAGACATCTAATAACTTTTGTTTTCAAGGAGCAGTATTCAGAAATATAGGGTATTTCCCTTTTATATGAAAATTTTAAATATGTATTTCCAATCATAATTATGTATAGTCAATATAAAACAAATACCAAAAATATATAAAAACACAAAAGTTTCAACTTTTTAAAAGATAACCAAATAAAAGAACACATAGATGATTCTAAATGGATATCAGGGACACTCAGGCCTGGACCTGACTAAGGAGGTAAACTTACTATCATTAAGAAGAGCCATTAAACGGTGAACTTTTCTTGGCAAAGAAAGAAGTAACACACATATTTTAATATTTGAATTTCTTCTACGCATTTGCTGAGAAAATAATTGTGAATGTCACTGAAGTTGATGTACAATAATGTATAGCTAAAATGTACATAAACAAAAAACAGATATAAACGTAAGTATATATTCATATTTACGACTCTACCTCTACATACATATTTAACACATTAGCCAAGACACAAATTAAGTACTAGTAGCCAAAGAAAATATTTTAAAAGTATCTTTAATGACAGGAAATGAAGCTCAGCAAACTGTGTGCATATGCACACATACACACATGTGAAAGCAGATATAAAACAATATGTACATTATAATATACGTATACGACAATGCATAACAACAATACTAGAACAACAAAGAGAAATGACTCAGCTAGTTCTTGAAAAACACCGGGCACGTACATATCAGCACATTTCAAGAAGGCATGGGATTCATTAGCATTGATAGCTGAGAGCGTTCAGTTTCTTCTGTTAAATGGTCTGCTTAGTGAATTTATTTTCCTGTAACGTAGCTGATTTATTTTTTCTGGCAATAAGGAAAAGGAAAGGAAGCAGGAATGCAGAAAAGGGCGATTAACAGCTTTCAGTTCCAGTGAAATAACGACAGTGAAATACCATTTGCAGCAGCTCATGATGCTGCACGCGCGCCTGCAAGCGCGCAAGCACACACACACACACACACACACACACACACACACACACACACACACAGTTACAGTGGACCATGAGACTGTGCAGGGGAGATGGGCATACTCTTTTTTTTTTCTAGCTGCACTGGCTGGCTGGCACAAATACAAACTGGTACAATGCTTATGAAAGGGAGCCTTTTGGCAAAACACAGGGAAAGTCATTGAAACGTCTATATGTGAATCCTGCAAGTCCACAGTTAAGGAGAGGCCATCCAGGATGCTAGCCTAGATTTGGCTTGACAAGGAAGGAGTCACTCATCAGGGCACGCAGTGTTGGTTTTTAAACACAGGGAAAGAACTAGGCACCTGAATGTCCAACAGTGCGGGAATGATTACAGAAATGTTAAGGTCCATGGATAGGTACACAGGAGCACTCTGCAGGCACTGAAGATGATATTCCATAAGCCTGTTGAATAGCATGGAAAGAAGTTCAATGCGTTGATTTGTTTGGTTTTCATCGCTGAAGAAAGCAGGTTAAGAAACACCACATACATGAACCACTCTACAAGAATATGTTAAAGGGGAAGGTGGGTCTGGGGTGAGAGGGGGAGAAAGGGGTAGCAGAGAGCCTGGAAAAAGGGCACACCAAAGAAGGTAAAAGAGGTTCTCTCTGAGTATTAGGATGATGGGAAGCAATTGCACTCTTGGTTCTTTCTCCCACATCAGACTTCCTTCTCCTTCCAGATATTTCTACCAGGAAATTGCATCACCTGTGCAGTAAACAAAGAGACAGAAAACGCTTTTAAGAATCAGACCGACCACGGGGAGAAGAGGCAGCCTTTACCCTCTCAAATGGCACAGATTAGTGGGATTATTGGCGGGGGCGGGGGGAAGGGGGGAGTTGACTGGGGGTGGAGAGAAAGGAGGGAAGGAGAGGATAGAAGAGGGAAGGGGGGGCTGAGAGCAGAGAGGGGATGGGGAAGCTAGCTTGCACTGGCTGGCGGGGGGGGGGGGAGAAGGGAGGGAGAGAAGGCAAGAGAGGGGAGGAAGGAAAGAGGAAATGGGGAGGGGAAGGGGAGCGGGGAGGGGTGAGGAGGGAGGGAGGGAGAGGGAGAGAGAAACCTGCACTCCCAATACAATACACTGCTGGTGGGTTGGGGGATTGGGGGGTGGGGGCTGTAAACGGGGTGGGAGCCAAGCTTTGGCTCTACTGGCTGGGTCCTGGGATGTCTTCATCGTAAGGTGGCCTCTTCATCGGAGTCATCGTCGAAATCCTTGAAGTCGGCGCTGGTGGACTGGCGGGCCCAGGCTCCCCTCTCGGCCTCTCTCTCCTTGTGGGACTTGAATCTCCCCACGAAAATCTTGCGGTAGTTCAGGAACATGCCATTCAGCGCATCTATGGCGCGCTCGGCTGACTCCTCCTTCTGGAAGTGCACGAACCCGTAGCCCTTGGGCCCCTTTTCGTCACAGGCCACCTTGCAGGACAGGATGTTGCCAAAGGCCGAGAAGATGTTGTACAGCGCCTTGTTGTCGATGGTCTTGCCCAGGTTCTTGATGAAGACGTTGCCCACCCCGCTCTTGCGGAGCGACGGGTCCCTCTGGGACCACATGATGCGCACCGGCCTGCCATTGATAACGTCAAAGTTCATGGTTTCCAGGGCCCGCTTGGCGTCCAGCGGTTGCTGGTAGTTGACATATGCGTAGCCCAGAGAGCGTCGGGTGACCTTGTCCCTGCAAAGGCGGATGGACAGGATGGGCCCAGCTGGGCTGAACTTCTCATACAGCATCGACTCGGTCACCTCGGGGTGCAGGTCGCCCACGTAGAGCGAGGCATTGGGATAGTCAGGGTTCCCATCGGAGGAGCCCCCGGCCGCCGCCTCTTCCTCTTCTGCAGCCAAGGCCGCCGCCAGCTCTTCATCCATGTCCACCCTCCCGTAGGAAGGCGACGCAGCGGCCCCCGTGGCCTCCGCCAGGCTGGCCTCCTCCAGGCTGGCCTCGGTGGCTGCCACCGCCGCGGCCGCGCCGGCCGCCCCCGCCTCCTCCCCGGCCAGGACCGCCGCCTCCACCAGGCTGGCCTCCAACTCGGCCTCCAACTCGGCCTCCATCTCTGCTTCCACCTCCGCCACGGAGGCCTCCGCCACCGCCTCCGCCACGGTCGCCGCCGCAGCCTCGGCCGCCGCCGCCGCCGCTGCGGCGACCTCCGCCGCCACTGCCGCCGCGGTCGCCAGGGTCACCGCTGCCGCCGGGTCGCTGCCGCGACCTCCCTTCCCGCGAACTGAGGGGACGGAGAGGCGGCGAAAGCCGGTGGGCGCCGGAACCCGGGCCGGGGGCTCGCGCGGGCGCTGCGGACGGGGACCCCGGTCTGGCCGAGCAGGCGGGACCCGGTCACCCGGGGTGGCGAGCGCTGGCCGCTAGTGCGCACAGCCCGCTCTCCGCAGCCTGCAGCCGCCGCCGCTGCCGCTCGCTCTGGGCTGGCTGCCGTGCGGGGCGCGGGCGGGAGGGCGGCGTGTGGTGGGGGGCGGGGGGGGGTGTTGGCGTCTGTGGTCCGGGCAGCTGGGAAGGCTTCTGTCTCTTTGGTTCCCCCTGTGGCTGCTGCGGGGCTGCGGGGCTGCGGGGGGCGGGGTGAGCTTGGGGTGGGGGTGCCAGTGCGCAGCCTCTGGGGCGCCCACGCGTTGGGGAAGAGGATGACAGGGACCGGACTGCGCTCTGGACCAGAGGAATTCGGGTTCCATGTCTACAGCTGGCGCGGGGTGGGGGGGGGGGACGGGGGTTGCCCCTTCCCCCATAAAGGAAGGTTGCCATGATTCAAGCAAGAACCTTGCAAGGGTGGGTGGAGTGGTCTTGAAGCCAGGCTAGCCCTGCCTGATGAAGCCTAGAAGCAGTGTCTCAACATCCAGGGGGTCTCCAGCCCAGCAAAAAGAGGCAGGCACACACTAATGCACACACACACACACACACACACACACACACACACACACACACGTGGGGGAGGGAGGGAGAAAGGGAGAAAAGCGACAGCATTTCTCTCTCACACACACTCACACATACACAGAACACACACACAGAGCTAGAGAGAAGCAACAGCATTTCTCTCACACACTCACACATCCACAGCACACATGCGCAGACACACAGAGGCAACAGCATTTCTCTCTCACACACACTCACATACACAGCACACACACACAACAGCAACAGCATTCTCTCTATCTCGTGTAGTGTGTATTTCTCTGTGTGTCTCTCTCTCCCTCTCACAACACACACACACACATACACACACACACAGGCACTACCTAATGTCACAGCCACCCCTGACACCCAGGAAAGCTTGAGTCTTCCCAGCTCCCCACGCAGCCTGCTGAGCCATTTTCTGAGTCGGCTCCCCCTTCCCACTCCCCACCCCCACTCTGCAACATTTCCAAAAGAGAGAATAAAGAATGTGTGCTCATTCATAACGCCCTGCCACAAATACTCTACATGGAGCCTGTGCCAGTCCCTGGGGATGCAGAGGTCTGGAAGACAGAGGAATAGGCGCTGCCTTCGAGCTTCTCCTGGGGAGCACAGAACCTGAACTGGAAATTGCTCCCCACTCCACCCTCAGCCTCTCCATGTCTCTGCCCCAGCCCCTGGACTACTGTGGACCTGGGGTTCTGCAGAGCCTCAGCTCCCCCTGCCATGTGGGGAGTGAAAATCAAGAGCACCTAGTCTCTAGGGGAGCCTTCAATGGTAAGTTAAAGCCAACTGGAGGGGGGGGCACTGGGCGGGGTGTGCTGGGAAATGGGGGGCGGGGGTGCTGAGAAGGGCCTGGCCCAGAGACAGGTGCTCCTTCACTCTTGCTATGCCTTTGAGGTGCTGAGGTCCCTGACCAGAACCAGGAAGTGCTCATCCCTGCCCAAGAAGGCATATGAATGAGACCTGAAACATCTCTTTAGGGTGAGATGCTGAGTCCCCAGTCAGCAGCTAGTCCTTCTGGCACTGGGGGCTGGGACTGTGGAAAGGCAGTAGTGACTGCTGGTATGTTAATGTGTGGAGAGAGCAATGAGGGCACACAGAGCTAAATGCTGAGGGAGCAGGCAAGCTGGCAGCCTGCAGAGTGTGGACCAAAACAGGGACTGGAGTCCCAAGTCCAGAAAGGAGGACCAGATGTTGAGAGTTCTGGTAGGACTCAAGGGCAGCTATGCTCAAGAGGGAATGCACAACTGGGTTGTGAAAGGAACTGGAACTGCTCCATGCCTAGGCAGGAGGGAAGGAATCCAAGCAGAGGAATCACTGCCTGTCCCAGGGTCAGTGGTGCAACAGCACCCACATGGTCATTGGTGCTCATACCACATGACCTAGCTTGGATAGTCTCCAGGGCTATGCATAGAGTGGAAGGTAGCTGGGAGATTGTATCAGTGGGCTTGCTCCCAACTCAGCCCGTGCAATAAAGGGGTGAAGAGATCAAAACGGCAGAGTGATTTGAACATCAGTGCAAATACAAGTGTGGGTTCCCCCCCACAAATCTGTGGCACAACATGAAGAAAATGGTCAGACGGAACTAGCTCCAAGAGAGTCAGAACCAACTTGCCCTCTGACTGCACTGCCATTTCAGACATGTGGTCTCGTGTTTACCACAAACCAGTGGCATCATGTGGATATGTTTTAAAAATTGAAATGCCCAAACCATGGTGCCTTTCCTTGAGACTTCTAGACTTCCCTACAGTGACTCAAGGTGCTTCTTTACATTGTACAATTGCCCCCCAGAAGACTGCGTGTTTTCAGGGTTTTTTTTTAAGTGAAATTTGAAGGAAAAACAAAATGTAATAAGTTTGATGTTGACTTCTTCATACAGGATTCCTTTTGCCTTGTTCTCCATCATCACCCCTGCCATCTGCCATGCCCAGCACTGCTCCAGCTTATTCCCTTCATTCTCCAGTTAGCCCTTCCCTTTGCTTTGTATTCCTCTAGTCTAGTTCCTGGCTACATTAAGATCTCTTCTTTGCACTCATGACCCTCCTGTTAAGTCTGATCTTCGTTCCCTCCTTCCTCCCCTCCTTCCTTCCTCCTCCCTCACTCACTCTCTCTCCCTCTCCCACCCCCAGACACACACATACATGCATGTGCACACATATACACATATATGCTCTTGCAGGAACACTAGCCCCCGCTCCCTTCTATATCTTGGCTGCATGCTTGCTGAAATATGGGTGTTTTTCTGAGTCTGGGTCTCCAGTTGCATCCATTTTCTTGTAAGTATTATGATGTCAATCCTCTTTAGAGCTTCTTTAAATTGCATCCCATGTGTGTGCACACTGCTCTGTTCATGTGCGCATCCCCAGAGGTTCATCTAGCTTTTTCCACGTGTTGGCTCTTGTGCATAGCACAGCCATACCCAAGGATGCAGAAATATCTCTGTGGTGTGTAGATTTAGAGTCGTTGGTGTTTATGACCATGAGTGACAAAGATAGGTCTAATTTGTGAGGAGTCACCATAATCAGTCACATGGTGGTTTTCCAGGTTCACACTCGGCCAGGCAGTGAATAAGTGTTCCCTTTTCCCCATATCCTCATGGCCACTTGTCCTCTTTTTCCTTCACAGTGTCCATTCTGACTTGGGTTAGATGGACTATGGGAGGTTTTGTATGTGATTTCCCCCAGGTGAGATTGAACACTGCCTCAAGTATTTATGCGCCATTTGTGCTCAGCATCTCATCAGGTCTGTGTGACCAGACTATGGTGACCACGGGATTTCGCATGCCAGCACAGGGTCCTGCCACCGCAACCCAGTCCACCTTGTGTATACAAGGCTTTCTGTGTGGCTTTCTCTATTGGCAGAAGCTACTCAGGATAGGAGAACATGAACTTGAGAATGGGACCTCGTCCCTGTGGGGCGAGGCAGGACTTTCCATCTCCTCCTGAGAAGCGGGTTTGGAGATAGGATTCTTGCCTTATGGAAAAGCCCAATTCTCTACACCTAGACAGAACTTGAACCAGTAGAAGCAAAAAGCAGAGAGAGACCTAGGACTTGGGAGTCAGGTGCCATCCCTTCCTTGCCCTCTGGATATGCCCAGCTCTCTGCACCTAGACAGAGCTTGTCCCAACAGAGCGCGGGGTAGGGACCTAGGGCTTGACTGAGCTTGTCCCAACAGAGGCAAGGGGCAGGGAGCCACGGCTTAGGAGTCAGGGGCCATCACCTACTGGTCTGGGGTGGGATGCTTGCAGGCAGAGGGGACAGACAGATGAGCTGCGCCTCAAGTTTTCAGGTGTCTATCCACGATGGCCAGCATAGGTAAAGCCATGATTGTTGTGTGGGGCTGGATGATATGATGGCGCCTTGTGACCATAGCAGAGGATCTGCTCTTCATGGGAGCAGGAGACCTATGAGAAGGGAAATGAACTCCAGACAATACAGGACCAGGGTTCCACAGGATCCTACTCGGCCTTTGTAGATATGAACACTGACCCAAAGACGTCAGTGGCATAGATGGAGAAATGGGTACAGGGAAGTGCCGCCAAAGTCTGCACCCTGGTCCCAGAGACAGTCCTTAAAATCCCCAACCGCAGTAATAGAGTGACCAGTACAGTAACCAGGACAGCAGCTGGAGACTGTCCAGGTCCTTTCTCTGCAGGCTTCATGATGTCCCACGTTCAGTTCTGCACATCTTCTGTGGGGAGTTTATCCCACCTGTAATCAGTAGTGTTCAGAATACTAAGCACTGTGATGGGGTAAAGAAAAGAGCCTTGTGGAGTGTTCCTAGAGGGAGGAGGGGGCCTTTCAATGGGACAAAGTGCCAGTGATGCCCCTCATTTTATCATTCACGGGTATTCCTGAGGGGTCAGACTAGATACCATGTCCCCCTTTCCTGGCTAGGCTGTCGTCCCTGTACTCAGGGAGCTTATTTCCTACTGAAAATGTGACAATATGGACTTGTCAGAAAACATGGAAAATGATAAGGAAGAGGTAAAACTCTCAGGGCCATCAAGGAGATGCTTGCTTGCACACTTTTCTAAGATCCAGGAGGCTGTAAAGGAGCACCATGGAGCCCAGGGAAGGCTTCTTTCAAGTCAGTGACCTGCCAGTCTTGCATGGAAAGCCTGCCTAGCAGACAAAGCTATAATGTGCCCAGTCACTGGGGCAGGAGCGCCAAGTGGTAATGGAACTTACAGGGTATCTGGAGCTTAGTGTAACAGAGGGGAGAAGGAAGGAACTAGGGAGGAGGCCACAGGGGTGGGCAGCTGCCCAGGTCAAGGTCTGGGCTTGTTCAGATGG